GGGGGGGGCAGCACAGGGGACATAGGGTACGCATGGCAGGGGGGTGGTGACACACAGGGGACATAGGGCGCACGAGGCAGCACGGGGGTGACACGTGGCGCCAGGGGTGGCAGCACACAGGGGACAGAGGGCAGCAGGGATGGTGACACGCAGGAGACATGGGACACATGTGACACCAAGGGTGGCAGCACACAGGGGACATAGGGCACCAGGGATGGTGACACACCAGACACACGTGGCAGCAGGGATGGTGACACACAGGGGACATGGGACACACATGACAGCAGGGATGGCAGCACAGGGGACATGGGACACAGGACACACATGGCAGCGGGGATGGCAGCACACAGGGGACATGGGACACACGTGACACCAAGGGTGGCAGCACACAGGGGACATAGGGCACCAGGGAGGTGACACACCAGACACACAGGGCAGCAGGGATGGCGACACACAAGGGACATGGGACACACGTGACACCAAGGGTGGCAGCACACAGGGGACATAGGGCACCAGGGAGGTGACACACCAGACACACATGGCAGCAGGGATGGCGACACACAAGGGACATGGGACACACGTGGCAGCAGGGTGACACACCGGGGACATGGGACACACGTGGCACAAAGAGTGGCAGCACACGTGGCACCAGGGCCAGCGACACACCGGTGACATGTGGCACTAGGGATAGCAACACACAGGGGACACAAGGTGCCAGGGATGACAGCACACAGGGGACAGAGGGCACGAGGGATGGTGACACACCAAACACACGTGGCAGCAGGGATGGCAGTACAGGGGACATGGGACACACGTGGCACAAAGAGTGGCAGCACACAGGGGACAGAGGGCACGAGGGATGGTGACACACCAGACGCACATGGCAGCAGGGATGGTGACACACAGGGGACATGGGACACATGTGGCAGCAGGGATGGCAGTACAGGGGACATGGGACACACATGGCACCAGGGTTGGTAGCACACAGGAGACACGGGACACATGTGACACCAAGGGTGGCAGCACACAGGGGACATAGGGCACCAGGGATGGTGACACACCAGACACACGTGGCAGCAGGGATGGTGACACACAGGGGACATGGGACACACATGACAGCAGGGATGGCAGTACAGGGGACATGGGACACAGGACACACATGGCAGCGGGGATGGCAGCACACAGGGGACATGGGACACACGTGACACCAAGGGTGGCAGCACACAGGGGACATAGGGCACCAGGGATGGTGACACGCAGGGGACATGGGACACACAAGGCACCAGGCATGGCGACACAGGACACACATGGCAGCGGGGATGGCAACACGTAGCACCAGGGGTGGTGGCAGCACACAGGGGACACGTGGCACCGGGGATGACAACATACAGGGGACATGGGACACACAAGGCAGCAGGAATGGTGACACATGGCACCAGGGATGGCAGCACACAGGGGACATAGGGCACCAGGGAGGTGACACACCAGACACACATGGCAGCAGGGATGGCGACACACAAGGGACATGGGACACACGTGGCAGCAGGGTGACACACCGGGGACATGGGACACACGTGGCACAAAGAGTGGCAGCACACAGGGGACAGAGGGCACGAGGGATGGTGACACACCAGACGCACATGGCAGCAGGGATGGTGACACACAGGGGACATGGGACACATGTGGCAGCAGGGATGGCAGTACAGGGGACATGGGACACACGGGACAGCGGGGATGGCAGTACAGGGGACATGGGACACAGGACACACATGGCAGCGGGGATGGCAGCACACAGGGGACACAGGACACACGTGGCACAAAGAGTGGCAGCACACAGGGAACATAGGGCACACGTGGCAGCAGGGATGGCGACACACAGGGGACATGGGACACACATGGCACTGGGGATGGCAGCACACAGGGGACATAAGGCACACGAGGCAGCAGGGATGGCAACACGGGACACCAAGGGTGGCAGCACACAGGGGACACACGGCAACAGGAATGGTGACACACAAGGAACTGGGCATGGCGACACAGGACACATGTGGCACCGGGGCTAGTGACACACAGAGGACACAGGGTGCCAGGGATGACAGCACACAGGGGACACAGGACACACGTGGCACAAAGAGTGGCAGCACACAGGGAACATAGGGCACACGGGGGAGCAGGGATGGCGGCACACAGGGGACATGGGACACACATGGCACTGGGGATGGCAGCACACAGGGGACATAAGGCACACGAGGCAGCAGGGATGGCAACACGGGACACCAAGGGTGGCAGCACACAGGGGACACACGGCAACAGGAATGGTGACACACAAGGAACTGGGCATGGCGACACAGGACACATGTGGCACCGGGGCTAGTGACACACAGAGGACACAGGGTGCCAGGGATGACAGCACACAGGGGACACAGGACACCAAGGATGGCACCACACAGGGGACACAGGACACACATGGCACCAGGTATAGCATAACACAGATGACACATGGCAGCGGGGATGGCATCACATAGGGGACAGCAGCAGACATGTGGGACACCCAGCACTGGGCACACACGGCCCCAGCTGTGCCAGCACCGGGCACCTGGGACACTGGAGATGGCATCACATGGGACATCAGGCACCTGGGACACTGGAGATGGCATCACATGGGACACCGGTGGCTTGAGGGACACATGGCACAGGGAGAGGGCAGGACACTGGAGGACACAGGGGACATGGGCCATAGCAGGAGAACATACACAGGACACTGGGCATGGAGAAGGGTGGTACAAGGGAGATGGGACACCAGGGATGGAGAAGGTGGTACAAGGGAGGTGGGAGACCAGGGATGGAGAAGGGTGGTACGAGGGAGATGGGACACCAGGGATGGAGAAGGGTGGTACGAGGGAGGTGGGCCACCAGGGATGGAGAAGGGTGGTACGAGGGACAGATGGAGAAGGGTGGTACAAGGGAGGTGGGACACCAGGGATGGAGAAGGGTGGTACAAGGGAGGTGGGACACCAGGGATGGAGAAGGGTGGTACAAGGGAGGTGGGACACCAGGGATGGAGAAGGGTGGTACAAGGGACATGGGACACCAGGGATGGAGAAGGGTGGTACAAAGGACATGGGACACCAGGGATGGCAGCACCTGGGACCAGGCTTGTAGGACGCTGCAGGCCCAGCACCGGGGACACATGGTCCCACCACCAGGCGCGTGGGACAAGAGGGACACAGGCCACCAGGCAACCCCCAGCAGGGCTCTGGGGGTGACAACACACTCCACACAAGAAGTCCCAGGTGAAGGGGACCCCCCAGCACACCCAGGTGTGCCCACCCCAACACCAGGCACAGGACTTGCACCCAGACCTCGGACTCTGGCACTGCCACACGCTTGCACGTGCCAAGAGTTAGAGATGCCACCTCCCCTTTCCACACTCGAGCCACATGATGGGCTGAAGTGACCCAGAGGAGGAGGAAGGGGAAACGAGGGAGGAAATTCAGCCCCAAACCAGCTTCCTGGAGATTTATACTGGTTTGGGTTTTTAAAGCCTGACTGGGGCCTCCAGCGAGTGGCAAGTGTAGGGTGCTGGACCTCAGGAGGAATAACCCTGTGGACCAGTAGAGGTTGAGGGTTGCCCTGCTGGAAAGCAGCTCTGCAGAGGACAGGAGGTCCCTCAGACCTTCATTCCAACCCAAAAACCAAAGTCACCCCCTGCCTCAAGACCTTTTTTTCCTTTGACCAAGGGGAGGAGGAAGGGAAATATCCCCAAATCTCACGACGTCGCTCTGGAGAAGTCGCGCTCGACCGAGAGAAACCCCCATCCAAGCTGCCCTCCCGAGCTCGATCTTTATTAGTTACAGTTTCAGAGGGGATACAGGTTTTTTGGTTTTTTTTTTGCTTCTAGATCTTGTTGAAAGCAGCGATGTCAACGCTCTGCACCTGGAAGAGAACAGAAGCAGCAGCTGGAGGTCACCAAGGTGGCTTCAGACATTGAAAACCAGAAAAAAAACACTCATAAACCAGGATTTCTTCAGAGAAAGATCTTCAAACAGATCAATCCCAGCCCAGGTCCTTCAGGCCAGGTCCCCAACTGGGACAAGAGGACTTTTAGGGACTGGTATTTAATACACAGTGAGACTGGGAGCTCTAGGGAGCCCACACATCTCCTGGCAGAGGGCTGGAGCTTCCATCGTTTCCGTGGAAGGATGGGGATGGAGACATCTCCAATGTCCAAGGGTAACCCCGTGTGCATCTACCCCAGGCTGGGTGGAAAAGAAGGGGTTCCCCCAAAATAACAGTTGGGTGGGGGCTGGATGAGCCCAAAAAATGGCTCCATAAATATATAAAATATATATTTAGATATACAATGTAAGGGATCTCAGAAGGTTGTGCCACCACCCAGCGAGACCTGGCCAGGCTGGAGAGTTGGGTGAAGAAGAACCTCATGAAGTTCCACCAAGGGTAAGCATAGAGTGCTGCACCTGAGGAGGAATAACCCTATGGACCACTAGAGACTGGGAGTTGACCTGCTGGAAAGCAGCTCTGCAGACAGGGACCTGGGAGTCCTGGTGGCCAACAGGTTGCCCATGAGCCAGCAATGTACCCTGGTGGCCAAAAAGGCCAATGGTCTCCTGGGGGATACTAAGAACATGGCGAGCATGTTGAGGGAGGTCATCCCACCCCTGTGCTCTGTCCTAGTGAGGTCACATCTGGGTCCAGGGAACTACTGGAGAGAGTCTAGAGGAGGCTACAAAGCTGATGAGGGTCTGGAGCATCTTTCTGCTGAGGAAAGGCTGAGACCTTGGGTTGTTCAGCCTGGAGAAGACTGAGAAGTGACCTCATCAATGCTGAGCAATATCTAAAGGCAGCACGTTGAGGGAGGTCATCCCACCTCTGTGCTCTGTCCTAGTGAGGCCACATCTGGATCCAGGGAACTACTGGAGAGAGTCCAGAAGAGGCTACAAAGCTCATGAGGGTCTGGAGCATCTTTCTGCTGAGGAAAGGCTGAGACCTTGGGTTGTTCAGCCTGGAGAAGACTGAGAAGTGACCTCATCAATGCTGAGCAATATCTAAAGGGCGGGTGTCAAGAGGATGGAGCCAAACTCTTCCCCAGTGGTGGCCAGTGACAGGACAAGGGGCAAGGGCCATGAACTGGAACACGGGAAGTTCCATCTCAACATGAGGAGGAACTTCTTTACTGTGATGGTGCCAGAGACAACAGGCTGCCCAGAGAGAGGACGGAGTCTCCTTCTCTGGAGATCTTAAAAACCTGCTGAGATGGGTTCCTGTCCAACCTGCTCTGGGTGACCCTACTCTGACAGGGGGTTGGACCAAATGATCTTCAGAGGTTCCTTCCAACCCCCACCATTCTGGGATTCCATTTGCCCAAATCTGCAAAGTTAAGCTCAAAATGACCCCGCGAGTCAGACACCACCCAAGGATTACACAGCTCGCTGAAAGGACTTACGTAGTCTTCAAACTTGGTGATCTCCTCCTCCAGGATGTCAGTTCCAACTTTGTCGTCCTCCACCACGCACTGGATTTGGAGCTTCTTAATGCCATAACCTACTGGGACCAGTTTGGAGGCTCCCCACACCAGCCCATCCATGTGGACCGAGCGGACGCACTCCTCCATCTTTGCCATGTCGGTCTCATCGTCCCACTGGGAAAAATTAAAAAAAAAGAGTGAAGTAGGAACTTTAGTGTTTTCCTAAAGATCACCATTGGTCCCCAAGAGGGACTTCAAGTTCAACACTGCACCCTCTCAGTACTTTTCAGCCAACCCAAGTCACCCTTTTCTCTGGAGCATTTCTCTTGGGTTTATTATCTGGGGTTTTTCTTCAAAGAAAAAGGCTACTCCTGCTCAGGGGAACCTCACAACTTGCCACAGGGAAAGGACACGCAGGCTGCAGATCCCAGCTGCCAATAACCCACTTCACTCTGAAGTTTGGAGATCTGCAGGTCCTACTCGGCACTGGTGAGGCCCCACCTGGAATTCTGTGTCCAGTTTTGGGCCCCTCACGACAGGAAAGACATTGAGGGGCTGGAGCATGTCAAGAGAAGAGGAAGGAGGATGGTGATGGGTCTGCAGCACAAGGAGAAGGGTCTGGAGAAGTTCTGAGGAGCACCTGAGGGAGCTGGGGGGGTTCAGCCTGGAGAAAAGGAGGCTGAGGGGAGACCCCATCGCTCTCTACAACTCCCTGAAAGGAGGGTGTAGTGAGGAGGGGGTTGATGTCTTCTCCCAAGGAAGAGGCGATGGGACGAGGAAAACAGCCTCAAGTTGCACCAGGGGAAGTTTAGGATGGATATTGGGAAAAATTTCTCCAAGGAAAGGGCTATCAAGCCTTGGAAGAGGCTGCTCAGGGCAGTGGTGGAGTCACCAGCCCTGGAAGGACTTAAAAGCTGGGCAGACGTGGCGCTGAGGGACATGAGTTAGTGGTGGTTTTTATCAGCGTTGGATTGATGGTTGGACTTGATCTTTAAGATCCCTTCCAATCCAGACAATTCCATGATTCCAGATTGACCACTGGGATGTACAAGTGAGAGGACTTACAGCCTCCTGCAGAACAAGTCTCAGCCTCACTCAGGAGCTCCCCCCCTTCAGCTACTCACTGGTTTCACATCCAGAAGGATCGAAGACTTGGCAATAAGACCCGGTTTCTTGGCCTTCTTCTCCGCGTACTGACGCAGCCTCTCCTCCCGGACTTTAGCAGCCTCTTGGTCTTCCTCTTCATCATCACTACCAAAAAGGTCAATGTCATCATCATCATCTTCCTCCGCAGCAGCTGGCTCAGCTTTCTTTGCCGGTGAAGCTGAAGGGAGCTCCACCTTCTTGGAGGGAACGCTGAAGGGTTCCACTTTCTTCATTGGGGTGACACGTATTCAAGTTTGCATTAAGGAAAAAGAGGAGAAGATTAACCTGAAGTTGAATCAGAAGTTCAGGAACAGAAGTCTACATTGCTCAAGACAACCAACGTGGCCCACACCATGCTACTTGCTCTTGGCCATCAAAATAGGACATTCCACCAGATGGACCTTTGATCTGGTTCAGCGTGGCCTTACTCAGAGGAAAAAACACCAAGTAGCCAAGAGCTGATCCTTCTGAGGGCTCCAAATATCTAAGACCATAAGAGTTCAAGTGGGACAGCAGTTGGGAATGCAACCAAGCATCTTCTCCTCACGTGAGGAGTGGCCCACGCTTTCTGTAGGCTTTCTGCAGAGACCACCAGCATCATTGGTAGCACGTCTTCCAAGCTACAAGAATTCCAACTGGTCCCACATATTCAGCTCCCACAGAGCTTTCTCAAATTAAATTAAATGCATTCTTATAGGGGACACATCTATCAACTCCAAATTTCCCCAGATCTCCAACAGCTCTCCAAAGCTGAAACCTCTAACGTAACTTCTTTGCTGGTCTTAGGGCAGAAGATTCCTCTCTACACATAGTTTTTGGGAAAAGATGATGATTCAGCTGCCAAAACTCCTGGAAAAGCTGTCACAAACTCATCCTAACTACGAACATCTCTCCATTTTCAAAGAGTCAAGAGTTTATGACTGTGAAACCTCCAAGAACAGCACTTTGCCGAGGCTCACCTGGGTTGGAGGAACCGGTGAGGGCTGGTGGGAGGTAGATGACTTCTCCAGAGCGTTCAGGCGGCTTTCCAACTTGAAGATGGCCATCTGAAGGTCTGCAACAACTGAGAGAAAAGTCGGGGGAAAAGTATTAAAAAAAAAATAATCTTATTTTGTAGGCTCTGCATCAGCTCTCAAGTCAGGACAAATTTGCTTCTGCTCAAAGTGGGACTTTAAAACCAGATGTCCCAGTCAGAGGGAAGGCTGCAAAGCTCTGATGGAGACACTGGCTTACCCCATGCCAGAAGATTGTCCTACTTACCACTGCGAAGGTTTTGATTTTCTACCTCCAGGTGAGAAATTCGGGACAGGAGTTCATTTTGGTCACCAGCAGGTCCAGAAGCGGTGGCGCTTGCGCTCTGCAACAAGGGAAAGCGAGATGAAACCAACCCGGTCACCTACTCCCCCGAGCTCAGCAGGTTCAGCGAAGCAAAGCAGAGTCATGCCTTCAGGGAAGAAGAAAAATTGAGAGCTGATCTAAGAACAAGGGCGTTTTCTCTAAAGGCTTTCTAAAAAGAATATACTAGTTCTAGAGAATGGAGCAGGGAACGTATCTCGAGAAATTTCAGCTGGCCCTCAAGAGCAAAGGATGAAGTTCTTCTTTGCAGTCTCAGATCACCGATTACCGCTAAAAACACACAAGGTTTGGGAAATTTCACCCTGAGTCCCTTAAATGGGGCAACTGGTCTCCTCTTACAGACAAACCGAGGCACAGAAGTGACCTAACGTCACACAGTGAGTCGCTGGAAAGAGATCCTGGCATTTTCATACTCCCCCCCTTCCCTGGTCCAGCTTTTAATTCCTCTCAAAACAACTTAAATCCTGCTTTAACACATCCCGAGGGAGCAATTATACCCATCCAGTTTCAAAACTATTTGGTTTAATAGCAAAAGAGAGCTTTTTTTTTTTTCCCCCCTAAGGAGGTGCTTATCTATAAATTCAAATCAGGTAAGGGAAAGAAAATCACAGGCTTTCACTCTTTGCGTTAAGTGTCATTTATAACTGAACAATAGAGGAAATAATTTATAGCCTTTTAAGTGCACCCCGCATATAATTATAAGGTGGTTCTGGGTTGGAGCTGACGTGCTTTTGAGATCTCAGCAGTCGCTCAAGACGGAGAGAAGGGAAACAGAGGGGTTAAGATGAGGAATATGTGGCACAAGGAAAGCAGGTTTGGGAGATGTCTGGCCCTGGGATGGAGCAGGAGGAGCTGCTCCTTGCAGGAAGGTCTAAGAGACCCTTCTCCACCCACCCCACAAAGGGACAGGGGCCAAATGTCAAGAGCACCACGAAATCAATCTCCAATGAAGCCTTTATGGTGGGATCTCCAGTCCTCAAGCTGGGAGAGAGATCTGAACATCCTGCTGCAAGATCCTGTTATATTGGGTGAGATAAGACCAACGTGCTGAAGGACAGATGCTTCTCATGGTAGGAGAGAAGGAGATTCTCCTTCTCAAGGAAGGAGAACTTGGTCCATCCCTCCAAAGCACAGCTGTCCTTGCCCTAAAAAGTCCTAAAAACATCACACAAGCAGCTCCATCCGAGCACGGGGGACTTACAGTTGAGCGGCCCGACTGCCTCTTGTGACGGGCAGAAGGAGTTTCTTTGCTACGAGGAGCTGTCTTCTGCTGCAAAGGGCAAAAGGTTTGGGGGACATTTGGTTCACCACGGAAGATAGAGAAGGATTTCACTCATGCTGCAAGAGGCAGTTCAAGTGCAGGATGCAGATCCACATGCAGGACAACGAGATACGGCCTCACACACCAACTACTACACACCAAACAAAGCCTGCAGAGAAACGTTCCTCCATGAAATTTGACATCTCTCTCATTAAACATCTCAGCACCTGCAGAAAGGTCACGCAGCTGGGTGGCAGAACCAGACTGAGATGTCTAGAGCGTGGTCTCACTCATCTCCACATCTGTAAAATCACAGGGGGAGCGGGTGCATGCATTAACGTGTCACACACCAGGGGTCTCTGCTACCTCTCCTTGTCATTAGAGAAGATCTAATTCCTGACGGATGCAAAAACACATGCAAAGTTAACAAGACTCTTAACGAGTTCCTAATTACCACCGAGACATCTCTGCTAGAGAAGAGTAAAGCAAGACAGCACTGGTCTGCGCTGACAGCTTGATGAGAGGACACAAATTAAAGCTCTGATTAACTCTTTGCCTGAGTTCTTCTTGTCCTACTGATACCACCAGGGCCAAGGTCTAAGTTAATTCAGTGAAAAGCAAATTCTGGTGACAAAAGCACTTCATAGAAGTGGTTTGGATTGGAAGGAACCTTGAAGACCATTTCATTCCAACCCCCTGCCCTGGGCAGGGACACCTCCCACCACACCAGGTTGCTCAAAGCCCCATCCAACCTGATCTTGAACCCCTCCAGGGATGGGGCAGCCACAGCTTCTCTGGGCAACCTCTCACCACCCTCACACCAAAAGAGTTCTTCCCCAGATCTCACCTCAATCTCCCCTTTTCCAGTGTCAAACCCTTCCCCCTCGTCCTATGCCTTCCCTCCCTCATAAAGATCATGATCAACCACAGGAGCTGTGTCACCTGCAAAGAGATACACAGCTTGGGGGTTTTTTTCCCCCCCAAAAAACATCCCTGCTGATTCAGCAAAGCAGCAACCACCACGGATATTTGACCGTTTGAAGCCCTGGTCACGTTTTCGAGCCAAAATGCTGAAGGCATTTCTCCTCCTTGTTAGTAATAACCACTCAAAGATGAGAAATGTAAACAGAGGCAGTACCATCTACCCTTCACCCTCGTCATCCCCCATCCTGGAGTCTCACAAGGAACAGCTCAGCCTTGCTCCTCCTCCCTGCCGTCGCGCAGGAAAAGCATCTCCAGTTTGGCAGGACGCCTCCAGCTCCAGACAAACCTGCCAGCCTTGGGTGGTTGTGTCAGTTTGAGGAGGAAAAAAAAAATCACTGCTTCTTTCCCCAAACTGGGGTAGCTACAGCTTGCAAGAGTGAAATGAGAGGATTTGGGAATACTCTGCTCTGGCTGAAGCAGTTCTCAACCAGCAAGAGCGTGGAAACGCGACATTTTGTTACTGCACCAGACCTTTTAAGTCGTATAAAATCCTAAAAATATAAAACTAGCCGTGTATTGCTGTTAGATGGTGTTTGTAAAGCTTTGTGTAGCACCCAGGGAATTGCACAGAGCAAGGCAGAGCTCTACGAAGCACTAATTCCTTCCCTTTTCACCCTTCCTTTGCCAGCTTAGGCTGAGCTTGCAGGTTGAGACGATACGAAGGTGGCAAATAATGATAACGAAGCCCAGAGGAGAGGCAGCACCCTCAGTGGGGCATTAAATTAGGGAGCCACAGCACTGATATTTGGGTGGCTCCGTAGGGAATCGTCTCACCTCCAGGATTTTTCAGCTGCAAGTTTCTACCGAGGTCCCGGCAGAAACAGCAAGAGTAATTAACAACCCATGGCTTAAACACCCACCAAATTAAGGTGAATAGTTCAGTGCCGTGCACCTGGATGAAGGGATTCAGCAGATTATGTCTGCTAAAATAATCCTAAACCAGGATTCAACTTGTTCCTCAGTGCTGTATTTTTCACGCCTTTTTAAAAATTGAGATTTTAAAAGGGGCTCAGAGACGTGGCACAGCAATTAACCAACACCCTGTGGAATTCAGACATTATTTCGCTGGCAAGAAGAGAAGATTTCCTGCCCCAACCTCAAGCAAGAGATTAAAAGTCTTCACAAACCAGACCAACTTTTTGGGAACCTATAACATGCAGAAAAAGGTGCAAGAGACACAAAGCTGAACTAAAGCTCCTAATTCTGGGAGGTGCTCAAGCCCTGCTTTCAGAAATTGGGGAAAAATTGCTTTTTTGAGACTGTGGGCTTTCCCCTGAGGTGAGAATGTTTTAAGCTTTTAGAGATGTGGTCACCAGCCTAAGCTACAAGCTGCCTACAGTCTGGTTTTTCCTACGCACAACCAAGTGCTATTTCTTCCTCTGAACTCAAGGGGAAGCTGAACTCAAGTGTTTGTGAATTTTATCAAGAACAGTAATTCAAAAATCCCAAACAAGGCAAGTTCCAGGCACCACTTCGGTCCCTTCCTGCATATCGTCTCACGGTCCAAGCTCTTCAAATCTTTGCTTTTCCTAAGCCTAAGCCCCAGTTTTTGCACTGGACCCTCATTAGTGATGCACTAACGAGTGGTGCAACCTATTAGAAATATTTAGCATAGCACAAACACTCAAAAAGCCCAAAACCACACCAAAGCCTGCATATAAATTTAATCATCCCAGCAAATAAAAACCCTAAGACTTCTTGCTTATGAAGAAAACAGAATCCAGGCTCAGCCTCAAAGGGCTTCCAACATCTGGCCCTGTCTCTAGTCTGACTCTCTACTTTAAAAATCAGAGACAAGACTGACTAATGAAGAAAAAGTTGTCAAAAGTTGCATTTCCTTTTTTGGATAAAGCTGTGAGTGCTTTGCAAGCTCCCTGACCAAGGGGAAAAGCTCTTACCTGTAGTTGTCCACACAGATTTCTAGGTATCAGCTGAAAAGAAATTTCTCTGGGCAATTATAGGTAAAAATCTCTTCCCTTGGTGTGTCAGGGCCAACCAATGGGCACAGCTGGAAAGCTGGCACTTCCCTCACTACAAGTAGTATCTGGAGGTATTAACCCTTTTCCCTTAATTTGAGTTATCTAGTTAAAAAGATTATCCAGTTAAAAAGAGCACGAAGATTTTACGAGCTCAGTTAGAGATGTGATGTGTAGGCTTTCCCTCTGCAGAGCTCTCAAAGCACTCACAGCTTCCTCCAAAAAATAAAACCCTATTTTTTTTTTGCGTGTGGGGATCCACCACCCTTCCCCTTGGGTGGGTGGGTCTACCTGAGCTCTGGAAACAGGGAAAATTTAAGTCAAAATATACAAAACCATAGGGAAATGATGTTGGAAGAACTAGACCAAGAGCAGCAGGATGGATCCTGGCTGGTTTCCTACAGAAGGTGTGACCATTCCTCGCACAGGTATTTCTGAATTTGGCCTCCAAATACTTTTACCAACATCAGAAGAGCTTTTCTTGTTTGAAACCCACAAAATACAGAAGCTTTCTAAGAAGGATTTGGGACACAGAGAGGAACAACAGAGCTTCTAATTCCCGAACCAGCTGCCTACCCGGTGACATCCCCTTCATTTTAGCTCTGAGGGAGGGTTTAGGAAGCAAGATTTTGATCACCCACTGTTAGATTTGCTTTTGATCTCAAGCAAATCAATATTTTCCACGTCTCAGGTCCCCAGCTGTAAGATTCCTCGATGCCACCAGCTGCAGTACCGCGCACGATAACAACTTCACATCTAGGAAAGCATTAAGGCGATGGAGCAGAGGTCAACAGGGGAGATTTGGGTTAAAAGCAGAGATGAGCATGCAAAAGCAGGATGACAGGTATGTGCAAACAAATGTTTCCAGCATCAGAGCTTTGTCCCTGCCTTTTGGGAGGTACAAATCACTGCCTCGACCCTCCTAATGCTCATTTTACGCATTTGAGAACGCCACCATCCAGCCCAAGAAGATCTGAAACCAGCCTTGGCTGAATTTCACACTCATCTTCCATCTTCCAAGAAGCAACTCTTCACTTGCTACTTCTTTAGGCTCCTGACAATAACTCGGGTGGAAGGAAAGACTGAATCCTGACTATAAAAACACGCGTCGCTTTTATTCTGTAGATCAGACGGGATAAAATTGGGGTTATGAAATATAAAATCAAAGTTTAAGCCCATTCTAAAGTCAAGTCTGCTCTATAGCACAGCTGTCCGAAATTAACGATGATCCTTCAGGAGGAAAAGCTACAAAAAGCTGGTATTTCAGACTCCTCTCTCAACAGCTCAGTCTTTTTAACACACACAGACACAGTTTTAAGGTACCACGGCTCAGTTCTGACCTTAAATCCTCAAGCCCATCAAGTTTTTTTCACAGGAAGAAATGAAAACCCAGCAGGTGACTTTCTGATATTCAGCACTTGCCACAGGGGTGTGAAAGACTTTATATTCTCAATTTTCTCCGGTGCTTTGCCAGTTCCTTCATAACAGGACCTGGACAGTCCAAATTTACACTCTTCTCAGGCAAAGAAGCTCTTTAAGAGGAGTCAAAGGTCAGGGCAAGAAACTCCTCATCTTTGGGAAAGCACAGACCATTCTGCATGATGAGAATACGTCTCTGGGGCAGACCAGCAGCACCAGTATTTAGGTTTTTCCTGCCCCTACTCACCACATCCAGCCTCTGCTCCTGGAGGAGGCAGATCTTGGAGGAAGCAGGAACCTCACCCAGCTTGGAAAGGTCTTTCCAAAGGCATTTAACACTTTATGCAGAGAGTTTTCCAGCCCTGTTGGGGATGGGGCAAATATGGGGAAATGATCCCCCTAAAGTCCAAACTAAAAGTCTGTGACAGGGGCCAAGTCTCTACTCAAAACCCAAATGTGTTATTTCCGATCTGGACATAAAATGAGCCAGTTCAGGAAAATCTTCCCCGAGCTGTTGCCTGAAATACTGATGCTGAAGCAAGAAACCAGCACTAAAAAACTTCCAAGTCTCTCCCTCCTCAACATGTTTTGGTTTGGTTTTAGTATTACTAAGATGTTCCAGCTTTCCCTTCATTCCCATGCTGCACTGGGGACCATTAAATCTAACCAAAGAAAATTTAACCCTTTCCCACCATCCTTTCATCACATTTGCCCTGCTCTTCCTGCATCCACGTTCCCAGTGTGGTACCAAGGATCTTGGATCCCTCCCACGAGGGGCTGCAGAAGCTGCTTTTGTAATTTTGAGTTCACCAGACACAGCGAGACCACCACGGGGAAAGCAATTAGCCTAAAATCCTTCACATTCACCCCAAACGTATGGCTCCTTTCGGCTTGCGTTGAGGAATATGGAATATTCCCCTTGAGAAAGGCTCGATTCCCTGTTATTGTGCTGATCTAGATAGAAATTGAGGGTGTTAAATACCCCAAGAGGGAACTGTGAGGCCAAATCAATACAGATAAAAGGACAGATACTCAGATGGAAGATACGTAGTCCCACTGCAGAGGTAAGAAATCCAGACACATGGGCTCTATTTCATGAATTTTATTCACTCCCAAAACCAGGCCACTGAAGATCTCCATTTCCTATTAAAAAAATTAAGTTTTAACACTGCTGTCTGTACCTCTCAGCACCAAAAACCACCTCCAGAAAGGATGGGACTGAACTTCTACAGGATGGTCCAAGATTTAGAGCTAGCAGCCAAGCTGAATTCCCTGGACGCAGCGGATGGAAGAGAATCACATTTTTTTGCACATACCCTAAACTGAAAGCAAAACAAGAAAAGAAAAGGTGGCAGCTCAGTGTACCCCACAAGAGACAGACACACTCCTGCTGGCAGCTCAGTGCTTTGCCACCCAGCAAGGTCATTTTACAAGCGACTCTGAATTTGTTAGATAAGACTCACGGGGAACATTCCACCAGGAGAAAGAGAAAAGAAACACAGAGTTGAAGAATTTCCACCTAAATCCAGTTAGTTTTTTCAAAAAGCACTGCAGGCCAGCAAGCAGGTAAAGCAGCAAGCGCTTCTAGGGTGCTCTTGAGTGGAAGGGGCTCTGCTGGTGGTACACAGCGCTGCACACCTTAATCTTCTCCTCTAACTTAAAAATAAGAAGCCACACAATCTATGAAGTGGTTCTGTGAGATGCACCATGGGCTAAACATGGTTGCAAAGTAGCAGCCAGCTGGTGAGAGAGCTCGGGTACTCACTCCGGCCAGCGATTTCTGGATATTCTCCCTGGCTCTGGCAATGTCGCGGAGGATCGTGCTGGCTCCGTTCTCCTGCAAACAGTGCAGAAAGAACCAAGAGATTTTTTTTTTTTTTAAGAAAAAAATAAAAAAAAGAAACATGGGAAACTGGTCAGGGAAATTTAAAAAAAAAAAAAAGAAAAAAGGGGAGAATAAGAACGGGGGAGGGGGTTCCTTTCAGTGATTCAGCAAAATTAGCCTCAAGGATCTGATGTAAATCAAGCAGCACCGACTCTGCAATCCCTGGTCACATCAAGGCCACGTGCCCAGAAGATCATCCAAGTCAAGAGATTTTCAAATTCTCCATTATTACCCCAGTTTGGAAAGCTGCCAGCCAGGCAGAGGGTTGGAGTCACTTCAGTTCCTCCTTCGAGATCTAGCATTAGGCAGCTCTTTTTTTTTGGGAATATTACCTGTCATTGTATTCAGGCAAGAAGTGACAGCCCTAACTGGAGTCTTTTATCCAGAGAGGCATCACCCAGAGGACGTTTATTTTCCCTCTGTCCTCCTGCTGCTGTGCCTTAGCCTGCATTTGGAAAATTCCCTTCTTAGAGTGCAAATTCAGATCCCACAATCCATCCACTCCTCACCTCTCCCAGACTGCGATCCCAACGAGCAAGATCTGAGAAACAAAACTGCCCACAGGCCAAAAAAAAATCCAAAAAAACCAACAAACCCCTGTGCCAAAAAGACCACAGAAAAGCCACAGCCCTGGACACATTTAGGTGGACACCACTTCCAGGTTGCAGGAAAGTCTTAAGGAACGTGGATCTTTTTTCCTTAGCAGGGAATTAATTGGCTGATACACTGCTGCAAAATCTTCACCAGAGCCTTCACACCACAATTTCTTCCCTGGAAGCTCCTCACATGGCATGAAACAGTCTTAACTGCTCTAAGAGCACTGCAGAGGTTTGTACTTTAATATCTACTCCAAGCGCTTATCTAGAGCTTCTAATTTTTAATGCAAGTATCCTGGGTGCTGTGCCACCACTACAGGAAGAGACAGCGTGTGCCTAGAAGGTATTACTTAAGCCAAAAGCTTCTCTTTAAACACTTGCAAGACAGCCATTTAAAACTCTAAGCAGCTTTCTCCACAACCAACCATATGCACAAGCAGTCAACAGCTCTTTACGTAGCAGGAAGAGGTTACGATAGCTCTGTACCTTTAAATAATCAAAATTTGGGGCTAATATTTAAGTTTGAACTACTTCCACTCAGGTGTGGTTGCTTCCCCTTCCCCCCAAGTCACCAGAATCGTGATAGAGTTATCTACAGGAGCACCCTGAATATTTCAGGGGGGTAGAAAGAGAGGAAAGGAATGTGATTTCTGGTCTAATTTGGAGCCAAGGTGCCTCTCTAAACATCAAGAATCTCATATATACCCCGTATATCCCTTGCCAAGGGAAGTTTGGCTGCTCCAGAACAGCATCTTTCCTGGATGAATTGGGACTGGGCAATTCTTTGTAAACAGAATCGCAGTTTTTGGGCCTTGTGGCTCAAACTGTGTCTCCCCACCACCACCATTAGATCCAAAATAACATTTGTGCCTCGCCACAGCAGCCTGGAAAGATTAAGAGTTTAACTGCTGCAACCTAAAACTGGTTTGCCTGTTGTTACAAGGGCACCTGGTCTTCCAGTACACTGGGAGTACTGGAAAAATTCTTCACAGCCCACAGAAGATGGTCTTGCAAAAAGGGGTTCTGATTGGGGCAGGCTTAGAGAGCTCCAGAAAAGACCATCACACGTGGAAAAACGCAGCACCCAGAGTGGAAATAAGATAAATAATCCTACACTAATTAATAGTGCACATCCAGGAGGATGGTGTCCTTCCACCTGCCCTGTACTAACTCTTTAAAATCTCTGGTGCTCAGCAAAACCCTGTCTGAGAACACGTGTTACCTGTTGGCGTGAAGAGCCGCCCACCGGCCCGTTCATCTGCTCGTAGTATCGTCTCTCGGCATCATCGTACTTGTACTTGTCAAACCAGATCTTCTCGTGCTTAAAGTAGTCGACTGCCATGTTTCTGCAGAAAGGAAATAAGAAAAAAGAAAGAAAAAACAAACAAAAACACCAAAGTGAGTTCCTAGAAGTACTTAAGGTCAGTGCCTCGTAAGGAGTTTGACAGAAGAGCATGTTCTCGCCCCGCAGAGCTGTGCCTGCAGCTCTCTGCTCGGCAGCGGAAAGCTTTAAGTAATGAGGATCCAATTAAGAAAGCAGGGCAGTCTAATCACACACACACACACCCCCCCCCATCTGCCTGGTCTGACCCGTATTTAGTGATGGGGATAGAAGAAATCGGCTAAATGTTACTTTCTTCCACCAAAAAGCTTGTGGAGCAGGATTTTCGTAATTCTGCTGCTAAGATATTTTGGGTATGGGAATCAAAAAGGAGATAATGCTTTTAATTCTTATTTAAATGCATTTCAGTCTTCCTTGAACACAACTCAATGGTGTTGACGGCAACTCTCGGCTGTCTTAGGGCTGGTACACATCTCTACTTGGTCCCACCACGCTTCACTGGGTGTACCACCAAATGCTGCTGTGAGGAGCAGACTGGAACAGCATCAACCCTGACACCAACAGCAACCAGCCTCCAGAAATCCAGAGACACACAATTTACCACAGCACCATGGGTAACTACCCACACGTCCTTTTGGAAGCTGATGCAACCATTTAGAAATTAAAAATCATCAGCAGTGAAACACATGCAAGTGACAGACACCTGGCACCACAAGGAGGAACAGCAGAAAACACCATAAAGCTGCTGGGAAATGCTCTAAGTTATTTTCCTTCAGTGCAGCAGCTCCCAAAGGTTTCTTTCTTATCTCAAAGGCAAATTATAGACCCCTTGCAACAGTAAGATGTGCCCTTATTTCAAGCCAGGGGACAGCTGCGGAGCTAGTATCAGTTTGAGAAGGTGAAAGCAGGGATAGAACATCGCAATGAGACCACACCATGACCAGGTTCCACCACACAACATGGACAGAGCAACACCAACCCACAGACCCTTTCCTTCTCAGCTCAACCCCCCCCAGTTCTCCAGTAAAAACATTTTCACAGAAGCCAACAGATGAGAATCTTGTAAAATAAGGACCCATCTCATCTACCAGTTCAGAAGAAACCACAGGCCACCACACCAAAGAGGTCCTCTCCACTGAGTACCCAGCACTCAAACCTCTAAGACCTTGCTTGGGCTGCCAACCAGTATATTAATAGAGAACCCCATTAACAAATGAACTTATCCCACATATTTTACAATGACACATGGACTTTCCTGGGAAAAAGGGTGAAAGACATCACCAAATACCTAGTTCTGTCCAATTAAAGAGAAAATTACCCCAAATAGGACAGGCTGAAAGGCACGTGACCTCCAAAACTTGTCTGTAGCCCCCTATATCACCTTGTTCAGGGACTTGGAAAGGGAGTCTTTAAATGTTTCTTGTCTGTAAACTGCAAGTTCTAACTATGAAGGTTATCTACCATTTGAGAATGAACTCTTCTTGCTCAGCTGTATCAAATGAGCTGTAATCCAACAAACCTGTCCCAAAATTAACAGCAGCTGTTAATAATCAAACCACTTAACAAATAGAGCACACGCTCCCACCAGACTGAGGCTCTAAATTGTATTTCCCTGCCTTTCCCCAAGCCTTCTTCAAACTGGACAGGGGTAACAATGCTCAAACCTCTCCTGTGGAGCCCAAGGACCAGCCAACGTGCTCTGCAGGACCAGGGATCATCACTAAAGAATGGAAATAACAGGAAAACACACAGCAAAGAACCACCAACTTAACATCTCAAACTCAAAGAGGAAACACCGCACGTTCTGCTGCCTCAGGCCTGGTTAAAACACATCATTAACTGCCTCCAATTCCTCACTTTTAGGTTGTTTGGTTTGGTTTTGCACGTGGTGAGTGGTAACCCCAGAATAAACTTCTCCTACTTCGTTTTTGGCGCGGGGAGGCTGGAAGCAGCTGGTTGGGAGGGTTTTACTCCTGTGGATTCCTGCGTCCCCGTATCCTCTCCTGCTCTCGACATTTTCAGAGCCTCGGCCGCGTAGTATCGGGCCTCGGCCCTGTCGTACGTCGGCTTGTTAAGCCACACAGTCTCACTGTCCTTGTGCAGGAAAAAGCTGGTAGGGGGAGGTTGCTCAGCATCGCTGGGAAGAGGAGAGTTGGTGGTGACCTCCACGCGTTTGATGCCCTTTTGCTTTTCAACGGTGTGGTCCTTCCCGACCTCATGGTGCTCCTCCCCATCCTCGGGGTGGTTCTTGGATGCTTCAGGGCAGCCACGTCGCGTCTCTCTGCCTTTGGTTGATGGATGACCATCAAACATGTTCTCATAGAAGGTCTTCTCGGCACCGTCGTAGAGAGGTTTCTCCAACCACACCTCCGACACGAGAGCCTGCAAGGTTGAAAGCTGTGGCTTCCCATTGACCGTCTGGTGTTCAGAGCCAGGCAAACCAGTAAGGAAGGAAGAAGAAGAATCAGCAACGACGTCTGGAGCTACGCTCGGGGTAGCAGGAGTAGGCAGGGCTGTGACGTAGCCCTCATCCGGCGTTCTCAGCCCAACGTTGCCAACGTTTGACCCCACAGACGGGATGGTGAGGACGTTCGGAGGAACAAAGAACTGAGATTTTTCAATAAACCTCACCTCGGCCTTATCGAAGTCAAACTTGTTGACCCAGACACCCTGAACGACATGGTGACACGCAGACAGACTGCCGTGGGAGCAGGACAGGGCCGCCGAAAGCATCCTCGGCTTAGGAACATCTTGGACAGCTTTTGACTTGGCCACCAACGGGGACTGCTCGGCCATTGGCACAGTCTCAGGTGCCTCCTGGATCTGAGATTCCGCTAGTTTTTTCCTGTAGATGCTCTCAGCGTGATCATAGAAAGGTTTCTCAAACCACACGTGGTCGGCCAACAAACCAGCCAGAACGGAGTCTAACTTGGAGGCCACGATTTTAGGTTTTGGAGAACGCTTCCGTTTCCTTTGTTTCTTCCCATTCCTTGCTTTTTTTAGGTCTCCCTTGAATTCGCTCTCGACGGAGTCGTCGTTGCAGACTCCGTTGACGGCCTCCACCTCCTGGAGACATTCCTCGGGGGCGGTGGCAGCCACCGTGGCTTCTCTTTCGTCGTGCAATCTCTCCGCTTCATCGTATTTGTGCTTGTCTACCCAGACTTTTTCTGCTGGGCAGGGAGTTTTCCTTGTCCTCATCTTCCAATAAAGTGGCAGCATTAAAAGATAAGCACAACAATGTAGTTGCAGCAAAACTAAATAAGGCAAGGGCATGCATCAGATTTTAGGCATTTTAAAGTAATACCAGAGCATCAAAAGGTCCACGCCATTATTATCCATGGAAAAGGGTCCAAGCGTTTAGTTCCTTTATTATAAATTTTAATTCAAGGCAATTAAACTGCCTAAACGTGTCCAATTTCTCAAGTCAAAATGACCTTCCTCCTAAAATACCAGTATTCTGCACATTCCAATTTAAAATAAAGCTCTGGCTCAAAGCACTTCAAATTTCACTTTCTAAGACAACTGGCAGGAAAAAAACCCAACAAGATATTGTTAAAATCCCTGGTAATCTAGACCAAGATATTGTTAAAATCCCTGGTAATCTAGAAGATATTTTCCCCAGTTAGTAGATTAGCCCTTAATTACTTCTTAGATATTTGGAACTAGGCACTGATTTAAAAAGACAAGCTAAAAAGAGAAAGATGCCCCAATTCTTGAGTGTATTTGGAGGTCGTTGCTTACATCTATTTGTATTTTACCACTAAAAAGCCAGCAGAGGGAGCTGACGGAAAAACTATGACTCAGTTTTGGTTTAAAACCCCAGATACCGGCAAATTAGAATTGACCAAGAGCTGGAGATGTCATTAATTTAGTTTCCCTAGAAAATCTTCTACTGAAATGAAAAATATTGCACCTACTTCACGTTGTCCTGCCCTAGTAATACCTTACTAGGGAAAAAATAAATCAGTTTTAAGTGTGTGTCGATTGAAAATGGTACAGGAAATACCTCTGAAAGTATAGAATTTACTGTTCTGCTCAAATATCTAATGAGTAGGTTATTAAGTCTCTTCCAAACACTACATGGTCATGTCCCTGGAGTTAAAAATTCATATACAGCTGAAATAACCTCCAGACCTCAGTCAAGGGCTCCCAGTTCCAGCCGTTCTTGCAAGATTTTACAAGCCTCAAATCCGGGGCTTGACAAACCAGTAAAAAAAAATAAGCTATTTTTACAAGTGAAACTTTGCCTTTTAAAACTTTTACTTTCTTTTTTTTTTTTAATTGTTTAAAATATTAAAGCAATGCAATATTATGTTTAAATTAGAAAAACGACTGTGAATTTAACTTATAAAAATCTACAAAAGTAGATTTATTTTTTTTCCCCTTATTGGAGTTGTGAAACTGCTCTTCCACCAACTGCTGAAAACACTGGGACAGAGCTAAAAAATGTTTAATACCTAAATCAAAGCCTATTTTCAAGTCTTTATTTTACTTTACACTCTTCTCTTGTATTTTACACTAGTTATGGAGCAATAAAACACTTCCTACTGCAGAGAACTAGAAAGAAATCAACAATTAATTTACTTTTTACCATTAACAGCAAACACAGCCCATTTGGAAGCACAGGCAGTGCAATGTAGGAACAACCAGTAATTTGGTTTGTTAGTCACTGGGATAAGTTCTACTACAGCTTCCAGGATGTCATCAAGCAGTGACAAATGACATCATGGGGACAGAAGAGCTGCCAGTACCACTAAAAAGCCTGAATAAGTTATTTTGAGGCACAAGGATATATTCCTGCTGCAAAAAAAATAAATCAAGGCAGCCTCAAACTCCTGATCAACTCAGCTGCCGGACCAATAATTTTAGATATTTTTATATTTTTATATGGCAAACAGCATTCCCCTTAACAAAAAATAATCCTTAACAGATTTAAACCCATTTAAATGGGATTTTTGGAAAGTAACATCAAGATGAGGCAACGTCTGCAAGGGCAATGCCTGCATTTCAGTCATTTGGCAGAGGGGAAAGGATTAAATGATGCAAATTAAAAGCCTCGTGCACAAAGGCACATCCTGCGGTAACGCGCCAGCTCCAAATCCCCAGGGAAAGCAAAATGCACAACTGAAACTGCGTAGGAAGGACAATATAGTTGAATTTTTAGGTTCTTTAGGTTGATAAGGAATCCTAAACAACCAATTCAGATTTCTGCCTTTGCATTTTCTGCTCGGCTCCACGTTCACCTTCATTTGAGTTATCCCCAAGAAAGAAAAAAGCCTATTTTATAAGGAAATAAAACCTTCGAGGAGATGCTTTCTTGAGAATACGTCATTCACCCAATGCAGGTGTTATCAAATTCTGAGGTTATGACCTAAAACTATTTCAGGAAGAATCTCCAGTGGGTTTAACAAGAAACCCAGGAAAAAAAAAATGACTCAGTGCAGCTCAAACTCTCACACCTTTAAATATTTAAATTGCACTACAGCTATGAATAGTTCATATAGAAAGAGCATGACCATTGGACAAAAATAAAAGTCTAAAAATTGGGGGTTTACATATTTTTTTTAATTATAGGTGATTTTGCTCATGTCCTTAAACAGCTTCAAGCCCCCATGTTGCTCATCTCAAGGGTGAGGAGCATTATTGAGGACCCAGGTTATGAGGAGCTTCTCTCAAAGGACTGTCTTGAATCAAAGTGAGATTTAATAAATAAATTTTATAAATAAACCAGTAAAGATATGCTTATTTCCAGTGGAAATCCAAAAAACTGTGTAATAATTTGTCTAGTAAATTCCCTTGATTTTCTAGAAAGTGCAAAAAAAAATAAATAAATCACAGAACAACTAGAGAGTACTTACTTTTTTAGCTCCTATGATAGCATTAAGAAAAAAAAAATATAAAGTTAGAGAAAGCTTCCAGTTGTAGAAGACACAGCAGCTGGTCAGCAAGAACACAGAATGACAACAGCCAAGTGTATTATCCTATCGTTAAATCACCCCATACATAATACATTTAATTAAATGCACGGCCAGTAAACTCTCCAGAATTATGTCATCTTCACGAATCAACACCACAGACAAGCAGTTATTTTTAATTTTAAATAAGAAGCATTTAAAAAAAACACAAACACATATCCAAGAGGATGTAGCCGATGGTGATGAGGAACCAGCCAACCTGGGACACCGATATTATCAATAAAAGCTCGGGTCCCCCCTCATTTCAGGTAATTAAACACCAAGAGCAAATACTTGAAAGAATTCTGAAAGTATAAAAATTATAATGTCACAAATTCACACGACTGTAGTTATTTCCACCAAAAGTTAATGATCTCTACCACATTCTGTGAATGAGATTTAAAAAAAAGTAATATTCAGCCTACTAATTTTTCGGGAAAAGCGTCAAAACGACATGTGAAAGGCTGCGGTAGAAATTAAGATTTTAAGAATTTAAGAGCCATGTGTATGAGTCTACACCTATGAAGCCTGACAAGACACAGCTTCTCATGTCACCAATTCAACATAAAAAGGGTATTTTTTTAAAGGAAACAACACAAACCCCCAAGCCAAAGCGACCACAAATGTTTCCCCATCGAATCCGGCTGGCAGGAATTTAAGCACTGGATTTTTAAAGAAGATTATTACCAAGGAAAATCTTCAGAAAGGGAATTTATCACAACGAGCAACAACACCATTTCCCAAAAACAAGTCCAGGATACTCACAGCACCTATTTGTTTCCATGAGGGACCAAACCTTAGGTTCAGTCATGAGCAAGACCAGATTTTCAGTGAAGTAAAGTTTACAAACACAAGCAAAAATAGGAAAAAAAATGTGGGTTTGACCCTGCGTTCATTAAGTTCTCCCAGAGGAACCTGGGAAAAGGCTTATATAAGGATTTTAATTACACAAACCATCACCTGAGTCGGTGCAGACAGATGAGAGATGAGCTCCAGAACCATTAACACCAGACCAAAGCATTACCAGTTCTCCCAGTATACAAATTTCCTCCAGACAAGACGCCAGCTCACAATACTGCTTCAGCCAAGCCTGCTAAATCCCAGGAAAAAAAAAAAAATCCCAGAAAAGCCTACACCTGATCTGACAAAGTCTGGAGAGACAAACTTACCTCTTCAATGGTTTTTGGAAGAAATTTATTGCACCAAACCGCAGCGGTTTCAATGTTTTCCACTCTGTATCCTCAACTACTCACTTCACTTCCTCAAATGGGAAGTTTTACAACTAAGAGAACACACTACAGGTTTATGAACATTCTTTGCTGGCAAAAATCAAGAGCACAGAAACTAGAGCTGAGTTAGAAACCCATGGGTCAGAACCAAGGTGGCAACTCAGAAGGTCTCTCCTTCAAACCACTCCTGAAACCACATTCCTCCGCTGCCTAGTAACGTTTTTCAGCGGTTTTTCATTTAACTAGCTTTTTTTTTTTTAGCATGAGGACAAATTAATTCTTTGAGGAAGAGGCAGCAAACTTTAGAAAATGCATTTAAGGAACACAAATCCATGAGTCGAGTAGAAAATTGTAACAGCTCTTACTGCCAGTGACTGGTTCCTTTGTACCCAAGACAGTTTTGCTTTTCCAGTGACAGCACAGACAATCTTTTGGGTGCCTTGGGAAAGGTAAATGCTATTATTAATCTTTATCGATGCCAAATAATCAAATACTCCCAAGAAACAAAAAAATAATCACAGGTCGACGTTTAGGCCTCCCATGGAAGGTTAAAAATGGGTTACAAAAACCTGACAGAATTTTTAATCATAGCTAAAGCTCCAGAATTTTGGGCTTGGTGTTGTCTTGTCACAGTGTCTGGGGTATTTCAAGCCAGAATAAATCTGTGCTGTGCTCCCAGCGCCGCTGGGAAAAGCATGAAGTTAAAAATAGGCAATGAAAAAGGTCCCTATTGTTGTTCTGTAAATCCAAAATAAGCTTTGGATTTCAGCTGTTTGGCTGCATTATCCCCTTAAAGTCTAGCTACTTTTTTTTTTCAAAAGTCAGTAAAACAAAAGGGTACAATACATTACCCTCAGGCTGCAGCCAAAAAAAAAAAAAGAAAGTTAAATCAACTCCATTTATTTGTTTAATGAAAGCCACTCTTCTGTTCATAAGAAAGTTACATTTATCCTGAATTGAGAAACCTATAAAATAAACGTGGGGGTTTTTGGGGGGTTATAAATACATCTGTCAGAGCCTCCCAGAGACCTAAATTCCATCAGGTCCTGTACAATTTCTTGCACTGGAACTGAACTGCAATTTTAATTTCAGCTCTGTGCCAGGCCGACCTGTCAGCTCCCAACAAGACACAGTGACTCAGGCAGCAGCAGAATTTGAAAGCAGCTCTCTCAGAAAGAATTTTAAGAGTTTCATGCAGCTTAAAATATTTGCGATAGCCTTGAAAAAAGAATTTTTAAGATGAGCAAGAGCAGCAAATCTCATCCATCACTGATTTCTGGAGCGATGTGATAGCTGCTTTCTGCAAGTTATAACCAAGAGGGCAAGATTATAGTCATGGTTCAACTCCTTTCTTCAGAGAAGACATCAAAAAATGGGAATCAGGTGGCAGCAGGGGACACAGGGTGAGAGAGACACAGGGCAACTTGCTGTGGTTTGACCCCAAAAACCACCCTGTGGATGCAGTCCCAAAGGTTAAGCAGGAAAGTCCTGATTTCTGCAGGTCCAAGCAGCAATTAAGCCAACACTGGTTTCTTTTCCACCAGCACTGATGGGTTCTCATCCAGGAGATTTTATCCCAGTCCTTAATCTTGTGTATTTGCTTACATGTCTTGGCACAGCTGATTTTTGGACCAGGCCAACGTAGTTATATATTTAGTGCTCGTGTCCTGTCGCATGTCACACCAGCCTCCCCACCAGAAGCTCCTGAACACTCCTCCCAGCAGCAGCCAAAAAAATAAGTGTCAGAAAAAAAATAGAGAGCACCCATTTAATGTCAGAAAGAGAGCAGAGAGAGGAGCAAGAAGGTCCACGGGCACCACCAATTTCATTCTACAGCCTCAGAGCGGCACCCGGGCTACGCCACACGAGACATCTGCACTGCTCATGCCTGCCCAGTGAGATGCTTCTCTTCCCAAAACTGCTACCACTGCAGTCCTGCACAAAAGCAAAAGCATTTAGGCACCAGTGAGACACAGCTGCCTCCAACTTACAGCAAAGGAAAGGCATCAAACCCTGCCCCACCTCCTGGTTTGTTTGATTTTTTCCTTATCAGTGATTCGGAGTTAAAAGAACTGAGACTGGTTTCAATCACCAAGTAAATACAGGCAGCTAAAGCAAAAGAAGATAATAACAACCCCATAATATTGCTCTTCTGATGGTTTAACTCTCTAAATTGGCTCTCCCCCAACTCACGAGCAGCAGAGCTGGCAGCTCAAAGCAGGACACAGTCAGGACAGGGACCACCTTTGTCACCTTCGCTATAACGCAAAGCTCCACACTAACCTTTCGCCAGGGAAATGACAACGACTTCCAACCTCCATCACCTAAAAACACGACTCTGCTCCAAGGGACTGATTGCTAATGAAGAGATAATCAAGGAGGTGGGAAATCAGCAGTAGGGTAAGACAGGGAAGAAGTCACCTTCACAAGAAAAAAAGCAAAATAGTTGAAAACAAACAGCTTGGGTGAAGAGAAAAAAAGGCGTACCTGCAAGGTCAGGGAGAAAGAGGGCACACCTAGAAAATGAGAGGAAAGAATTACAGCTATGCAGCCAAGCAAAGTTATTTTCTCCTCCACACCGAGCACGACAGGACTGTGAACATCAGGTTACAATCAATTCCAAACCATCAATGATCTAGATGCGAAAGAACAAACCCCTATTGATTTTGGTGAACACCCGGAGGGGAGGAATGACAGAGTGTAAACAGCCTCAGCAACTTCAGCTACAGCTGTAATCCTTCCCAAACCCCCAGAGAGCACATTAGCACAACCAATCCCCGCCCCCTCCTTCCCCCCCAGCTCTGCCCATTCCCCAAATATAGTTTTGAAACCGATACCTCCCCCCAGGGTGAGCTGTCACGGAAACAAAAATGAAAAGCAGAAAGAGCAGGACGGGATGACGGAGGCACCGCCAAGGTTACAGAGGGGGTGGGAACACCAGCACATGGAGAGGTGACAGGAGCAGAGCCCCAGAGCACTTATAGAGCAAGGGGAGGGTGGGGGAGGCTGGACTTTATAGGGTTTCCAGCTCCAAAGCAAGTTTGGGAAGGCAGCTTAAGGGTGCTGAGCCACAGACAGGATCAGGCCCTGCTTCAGTTACAGAGGGCTGCCAGCTGCTCCGTGCCAGGACAGAGCTCGAGTTTCCCTTTGCTGCAGGTGACTCAACAAGAAACCCTTGCCAAGATGAGGAAAGAAGAACAGACATCCCCCCCTCTGCCCCCCCACAAGGCACTCAGAGCTACTGCGGACAGAGGGAGGTCCCCAATCTCCCCTCCCTGCCAGGGCATAAATCACACTGACCTCCAAAGATTTGAAGGGGTGAAGCTCCATGTAGCAGGGGTATCCCCAGAATCAGCACCCCAACAAAGAGGGAACCTGCTCCCTCTTCCCAAAAGGTGGACAGGTTTAGGGAGACCTCCAGCATCAGTAGACCCAGCCCTCATACCCATTAACGGGGTGCTCCTGCAGCCACCTACCCAGAGCCTGAGAAGGGGAAGCAACCCCAAAAAGATGGTAAAATCCTACAATCTCCCTTCTTTAGGCCTGGAAGGGGAAAAGGGGTCTCCCAGCTAATGAGGGGGCCCTCCTCATCCTCCCTCCTTGGGGTGCTAGGGGAGAAGACACCCCACATGGAACAGGGGGGCCTCCCACAAACCCCCTTCCCAGACCTATTAACAGGAAAGGGATTTAAGAGACTGTGGGAGCCATAAGGATGGGGAGGAGCATGGAGAAGTGTCATCCCACTCTTCTGTTGGAGTGAGAAAAAGTAACCCCAAAGACTATGGGCACACTAAGGCCTCTCCCTTATGACTCCTGGGGAGGAAAAGGGATTTAAAAATAGCGATGGGGGGAACCCACCCACTTTCCTGAGACCGTGAAGAGGAAGTGGCCACACAGACAGTGGGGGAACCCCACAATCTCCCTTCCCTGATACCGTAACAGGGGAAGAGACCCACGTAAAGAGGGTGCCCCACAACTCCCCCCTTCCCGCCACTATGTGGGAAGGAGCCCCACCGATAACGAGGCATCCCCAAAACCCCCTTTCACGGGCCTGGGAGCAACAAAGGACCCTACTTATAATGGGAGGATGATCATAATCTCTTTCCTGGGGAGTGTGAAAGGACAAAGAGACACCACAGATGGTGAGGAGCCCCCCCAGCCCCTTCTCCTGACCCCTGAGCAGGAAAAGGCCCCACAGAACACGAGGGGCCTCCACATCTCCCCCTCAAAGGGCTACGAGAGGAGCAAGGGACCCTTTAGGGACCCCCGAAACTCCCATTACCGAGGCCCACGGGGGATCACGAAGGACTGCGGGGAGGCGGTGAGAGGGGTTATAACCACTCACCGGCAGCGATGGGCCCGGGGCAGGCCTCAGGCGGCTCCGCTCCGCTCGGCCTCCACCGAGGCAAAGGGAGGCGGCCCCCACCGCGCGAGGGGTTGTGGGGGCGGCGCGGACCATTCGCGGGGGGGGTGAAAAACGACGGCGAGAAGGGAGAAAACTCGCCGTACTCACAGAGCGGGCCTCCTCCCCTCCTCCTTCTTCTACAGCGTGACACAGTCAGGGGGAAGCAGGGTGGGGGGGGAAATAGGGAAGAGGAGGAAAAATCAGGGATCGGGGAGCGGAGGGTCTCCCCCCCTCTCTCGGAGTGGTACAACCCAAACGCCATAGCGGAGCTACGGGGACGAGTCCAACAGGACACAGAGAAAGGGGGGGAGAGCGGATCATACTAATCGCTATGGGGGGGGCCGCGCATGCGCGCTGCGCCCCGCCCCGCCTCACCGGCCGGCTCGGGG